TTGCATCCACAGGTGCTTCTCAAGCAAATCCCAGGATGTCATTCTCCCATTGTACTCGGCCTTAGTGAGGCCGCAGCTGGAGTACTGCATCCAGTTTTGGGCTCCACAGTTCAAAAAGGATGTGGAGAAGCTTGAGAGGGTGCAGAGGAGAACCACGCACATGATCAGAGGTCAGGAAAAGAGACCTTATGAAGAGAGACTGATAGCCATGGGATTCTTCAGCCTGAAAAAACACAGGCTCAGGGGTGATCTGGTGGCCATCTACAAGTTTATCAGGGGTGCTCACCAAGATGTGAGGGAACATCTGTTCACCAGAGCGCCCCAAGGGATGACAAGGTCGAACAGTCACAAACTCCTCCATGACCATTTCTGGCTGGACATAAGGAAGAACTTCTTTACTGTCCAAGTCCCCAAGGTTTGGAATAGCCTGCCACCGGAGGTGGTTCAAGCACCTACTTTGAACACCTTCAAGAGACATTTGGATGTCTATCTTGTTGGGATCCTATGATCTCTGCTGACTTCCTACCCCTGGGGCAGGGGGCTGGACTTGATGATCTTCCAAGGTCCCTTCCAGCCCTAATGTCTATGAAATCTATGGAATCTATGAAATCTTGGAACCAGAAAAATATCAAATTATATTCTGAAGAGGGAACATCAACAACATTCATTATTTTGATTTCAAAAAATATTTTTGTCCCGGTTTACATGTGTTTGTGTAGTGTACATAGAGGTGATTGTGTATAATAGCTTACAATGAAGTCTTATTCTTGTACATTGTGGGGCAGGTGGGTATAGTTTTGTGCAGGGATGTGTGTATGTGGGGTGTGGGGGAGGGTGTGGGTGTGTCTGTTGGGGTGGATAGGTGTGGGAGGATGTGGGTGTGGGGTGAGGGAACATGTGGGTGTGTGTGGATATGTGGTGTGTGGGTGGGTATGGGGTTTGTGGGTGGCTGTGAGTGGGATTAGGGTGGCTGGGGTGTGTGAGGGGGTCTGAGTAGATGGCAGTGAATGTGTGTATGTGGGGTGTGGGGGAGGGTGTGGGTGTGTCTGTTGGGGTGGATAGGTGTGGGAGGATGTGGGTGTGGGGTGAGGGAACATGTGGGTGTGTGTGGATATGTGGTGTGTGGGTGGGTATGGGGTTTGTGGGTGGCTGTGAGTGGGATTAGGGTGGCTGGGGTGTGTGAGGGGGTCTGAGTAGATGGCAGTGAGAGGGGGGATGTGGGTGCATGTGTATGGTGGGGTGTGCATGTGGGACTCACCCTATGAAAATATACACACAGAGCCCTTCCCTCTGCCCATTATTGCTCCCCCATCATCTGCCCTACTATGTGCGCTGTCTGTCCCCTTCTGTCTGCCCTATTTTTGGCCTCTCTTCATCATGTTCCCCACACACACACACACACACACACACACACACACACCTGCATACTGGTGCAGCCCCATGCTCCTGGGTCTGGCAATGCAGCTGGGAACCACATGGTTCTCCAGCAGTGCTGGGGCAGAAAAGCAGGGAAATAGCTGGGGGTGAGGTGGGGTGGGATGGGGCTGGGCTGCTGATGGCTCCCCCTGGGTCCTACTGTCCCTGGCTCCTGTCATCTTTGACAGGCAGTCAGGAACAGATAAATACTTTCTAAATTTTTTAGGGGCCCCATGAGCTGGATAGAATAGCCTGGTAGGCCAGATCCAGCCCACAGGCCATATTTTGCCCACCCCTGCTGTAGCAGGACAGGTCCAGAGGTTGGCAGTATTTCCCCCTGGTGCCCCTCCTTGGAATGTTCCCTTTCTTGGAAAAAGTTGTTTAAGAAGAACTTGAACTAATGAGAGAGGCTTTGTTTTCTGATAGAGTGTTAAATGCTGATAACAGAGCCGATAAATGCTCTATTACCAAGGGGTGGGGGCGGAACCCCGCTCTAATCAGAGCATTTTGTTGGGGCCTGGCCACGCCCCACTCAACTCAGCATTATGGAAGGGAAGGGAGGGCTGCTCTAGCGCCCCATGGCTTCTAGCTTGAGCTACAGCAGGCATGTGCCTGAATTTCCTCAATCCAGAGGGGATGCCTAAACGATTACAAACTGGTTCAGCCTAGCCAGGTTAGGCTAACCTGCAAAGATTTAATCAATTCAGGCTCAGGCTTTTTGAATGTCTGTCCCTAGCCCTAGAGTGAGCTAGGAAGAGCATAAATCTAGTAAAATCAATCTGCTTAATTGCAAGCCCCAATCTTACTCATGCCAACAGATTCTAAATCAGATGACCAACATTTTGTGCCTTCCTGGCAACTGTGTTTCATTGACCCTGATCACAGCCCTGTTAGCCCTAATCAGAGCCTCTTGGCACTTATTACACCTTAAGAGCAGTAATCATGACCTTCAGACGCCCCCACAGACACATTCATGCCTCAAAGGCCTTACTCTGTTTCACATACCAGTCCCTCTGACTCTATCTTCAGATCTACTCACCCAGGCACCTGGTCCTGGCAGGGCTGCTCCAGCTCATGAGGTCCCAGACCCTGGTAAAGCTGCTGTCTCTCCATTCTAATCCACCACGTCCCAGGCCCTTGCAGGGCTGCTTCAACTTATGAACTGCTAGGTTTCTATTTACTCATCCCACAGGCCCCTGCAGGGCTGCATCCTGGTATATACTTCTATAGCAGGGGTTCTCAATCCCTGGGCCGCGGCCCAGTGCTGGGCCACAGCGGGTCAACTGCTGGTCTGCAGCATGGTTGGCTGCCAGACTGGAAGTGGCCATGGACTGGCAAACTGTGCCCCTCCCCCCCTCCCGCCCCCCAAAAGCGGGTTGAATAGGCCATGGCTTCTTCTGCAGGGCCCACAGCAGCTCAGGGTTTGCCCTGCTCTCCCGCCTGAGGGGTAGAGGTATCCTTACCTGTTTGCCAGCCACAAATTCCAGCCACGGTCAGCTGTGACTGCTGGGCTGTGGTTTGCTGGGCTGTGGCCACTTCTGGGCTGCGGTTTGCCAGGCAACGGCATAAAAACTTTGGGAACCCCTGCTCCCAGGAACCCCTGATTCCAGGATTGCCTCCCAGGAACCCCACCCTGGCCTCCACCATTCCTGTAGCCACAATCCAGTTAAACAAATACAAACACAGATGCACTAATCTCAAGGTCCACCTTGGGTCTCTCCATTTCTGCAAAACCCTTTCCCTATATGCTGTTTCTTGCCCAACCTCCAGGGTACCCTCCTATGTCTGCAGCTTTCATTTTAGCAAAAACTCTTCTCCCCACAGAGGCGAGGGCCAAACTGAGGCTCTAGTTCAGGGTCTTAGCTTATATTGCCCAGGAGCACCACCGCCTCTGGTCACATGTGTCCAACCCAGGACAGGGGTTTTTCCTTCACCTTAATCAACCTGCCCTTCCTACACTGCAGTCCTTACTTACATACTTATCTGGAGCTGTGCACTACTGTGGTGCAACTTGCTCCCAAGTAGTTATCTGTAGACTCCTGTCTTTCTGCTGCCTCAGCTGCTTACCGTCTGGCAGTTAGCCCTGCTCTAGCAACCCACTGATTGCAGCGCTTTCTCTCCCTTAAAGTAACAGGGGCTAGAATCCCCCTGTCACAATCACCCCTGGTAAATCCTGTGCCCACTGTCATGTTTCCCCCCACAGTGATCACCAGGGTGATAAGTCTTTCTAGCCACCTTTCTTTTTCACGTAGTCTTCTCAGTTGGGGGTGGGGTGGTGGGGTGGGGGAGCAGCAGCATTGAGACAGCTGACTAGAGGAATTGGCTTTGCAGACATTAATAGTACCCCATTAACAGTGCAGAAGTAGACTGGTGCTTCAATACCACATTGCACGTAGCCACACCCCTTCCTGTGGGAACAGTGACTATCTAGCTCTTTGCCTGCTCCCTACCCCTCCTGTTAAAATCAGAGGATCTTAGAAATACATCATATAGATTTGTCACCTTGATCTGTTATATTTGCAGGCAGGATTCTGGACACCAACATGAAGTGCTGTGTCAGAATATACTCTTCCTCCAAACCAAAGGCACAGCTCCCTGTTGACACGGCTGTCTGTGCGGGGCAGGTAGACGAGAGGCTCAGCTCGGCTCCTACAATACAGGGCACTGATGGAGCTGCAGTCAGTCACACGGGCCAGCTGTGGATCAGAAGGCCCTACAATATCCTGTAAGGTGTGTCGTGCTTTCGGCCCTCTCAAACTTAATGCCAGAACTGGTGGTGCCTTGCCAGCCTCAGGAGAATAAGCAGAAGGCAGCTCTTCTGTGAAAGATAAACATATGTGTGACTAAAGCAGTGCGCCCTCTTTCCAGGCTCACTCATTCTATTCAAGGCCTCTTTTCAAGTCTATATTCTCCCTAGATGACTGATAACTAATCAGTCCTATCCCTTGGTCCCATTCCATGTTTATCAAGGTAACATCTGTTTCTCAAAGGGGCTCCCCCCATGTGAGGCAGCTCCTGATCCAACACAGCTGGTTACCTAACCAGGGAGCTAACCTGCCAAACAACCAGCTTGATGGTGTAATGGCCATACATACAACAGCCTTTGCTGCTGCTCTTGAGATCTCTTTGGCTTGCTTGAGAGCAGCCACAGAGAGAACTCTCAGGGCAGCTTCACTGCCTAATTTCTGGGTTTGGAATCCTGGTCTTGATCTTTCTTCTGAGTGGACACTGCCTGGATGCCGGCATAAAACAATACATTCATGATCAGATGCTCTCACTGCTGTACTGCTCAGGCAGGGTTAAGAGGAGAGGTATGTCCCTACAGCAGCAGGTGGAACCAAACAGTGGTTCTATGGTGTTTCCTGCTTCTACTGAGCTGAAGGAACCCTTCCATATAAACATGCCTGGCTAGGACAGAGTCGGGAGACTCTAGGGAAGGAGAATGAAAGGCAGCAGCTGGCTCCAGCCAAGCTCTAGGACAGATTTTCAGCTGGTGTAACATCACAGCACCACTGAATCACAGTGTTGTATAACCATCAAAATTGTTATCAGCTGGAGATCTGTGCCTGAACACCTTCCCAATGGAAACTAACACAACAGATAATTCTGCCAAATCTGTATTCTTATGTACTCTGAAATCTACACACATGTAAAGGTGGATACCATGGGAGTGGATCTCACTGAAAACCACAGAACCCAGATATGGACCATTCACTTTGTGGGGATTCATAGATTCATAGACATTAGGGCTGTAAGGGACCTCAAGGATCATCAAGTCCAGCCCTCTGCCCCAGGGGCAGGAAGTCATCTAGGGTCAAAGGACCCCAGCAAGATAAGCATCCAAGTGTTTCTTGAATGAGTCCAGAGTAGATGCCTGCACCACATCTGGAGGGAGTCTATTCCAGGTCTTGGGGGCTTGGACGGTAATGAAATGTTTTCTTATGTCCAGCCTAAAATGGACTTGTAGGAGTTTATGACCGTTGGTCCTTGTTTTTCCTTGGGGCACTCTGGTGAAGAGACATTCTCCCAGATCCTGACGAACACCCCTTGTTTACTTATAGGCAGCCACCAGGTCCCCCCTGAGCCTCCACTTTTCCAGGCTGAAGAGTCCCATGGCTCTCAGCTTCTCTTCATAAGGCCTATTATCTTGCCCTCTGATCATGCATGTGGCTCTCCTCTGGACTCTCTCAAACTTCTCAACATCCTTCTTGAATTCCAGAGCCCAGAATTGGATGCAGTACTCTAGCTGCGGCCTCACCAAGGCCAAGTACAGGGATGTAAGCTAGGAAGAAATCTGGGCAAGATAAGTGGGTTATTTTCTGATCCTTTCATGGAAATAGGAAAGCTGATGAAAGGACACAACTGGAAATTATTTAAAGCTACAGATAAACTGCTCATTCACCCTGGACAGAGCCAGGATCTGGGCTGTGTGGGGAAGGAATGAAGAGTAATGACATCTCAAAAGAAAATACCCAACCACCAGCCCTTCATCTACTTGCTAAGACCTGAGTTCTGGGTTTCCTTATTTCCTGTCATACTTGAAGATCCACAGCAGAACATTCTCTTCCCCTCTGTAACAACCCCCTCACCAAACACACAGCCTGCCTTCATGAGGATTGCCAGGTGGGTGAAGGAATGGAATCCACTTCACTTCTTTATGGCTCCTACTACAGTGATCAGAAAATGAGAGGCAGGATACCTCTTCCTCTGCACTGGTGTTTAGACATATCTAATGACCTCAGTTGTCACAGGGAAATCAGGATCCTAAGCTCATGGGTTTACAATTTAAACTTCAATCTATTTGTGTTTTTTTAAGTTTCCAAGTGAAGGGTAAAATTCAGTGTTCTGATCTGAGTAGCAAACCTCAGTTCACATACATTTTCCCTCCATACAAAGTGGTCCTTCACAGCATGTCCAAAGAGCAAAGCATTAGAAACCAGATCTGAAAGCAGAATTCTACCTGTTTTCTGTTACTGATTAGTGACTTCATGGTTTTCTTATTAATTTCCAAAGCTCTCCAATCACTGGTGAAAACACATTACATCCACACTGCTGAGACAACTGAAGCAGTAATTATATTTATGAGCTAGTCTGGTTCCACTGTTTTCAAATGTGACAAAGAAGCAGGGACACTGCAGAATTTCTTTGAGTGACTGACCTGGTCTTGACTGAATTTCTGTCCAGGCAAAAAGAAAACCTGTTTCTCTCAGTCTGCCAACATTCTTTCCCAAGAGAAATGGATTTCATGAGTACATGCCCTTTTGTCATACACAGGTCTTTCAGGAGAACTTCTTGGCTTAAAAATACACTGAACTGCTGTGTTACAGAGGCAATCCCTATCCTTGTAGTTATGGGATGGTTGTCAAACTAAGATCTTGAAAGTTAACAGTTAATTAAATCTGATACACATCTTGAGAGGTAGCTTTTATCGTCTTGCTTTTAAATGGACAAAACTGAGACAATCCTGATGCGAGGAAAAAGAGGGAAAGGGGCCAGGAGGCTTCCTTGGCTGACCAGAGAAATCCAGGGCAGCCTAAGGGCCAAAAGAGGAGCACATAAAAAGTGGAAACAGGGAGAGATCACCAAAGAGGAATATACCTCCTCTGTTCGCACTTGTAGGGAGGCAGTTAGACGGGCCAAAGCTACCATGGAGCTGAGGATGGCATCCCAAGTAAAGGACAACAAGAAATTGTTTTTTAGATATATAGGGAGTAAAAGGAAGGCCCAGGGAGGAATATGACCCCTGCTAAATAGGCAGAAGCAATTGGTGACAGACAGGGGGGACAAGGCTGAACTCCTCAATGAGTTCTTTGCCTCAGCGTTCCTAAGCAAGGGGCACGACAAGTCTCTCACTGGGGTTGTAGAGAGGCAGCAGCAAGGCACCAGACT